GATGTCATTGGTGATTGAAAGAGAAATCAAGGATATGAACTCCTCTACTCCTCCAAATGAAGTTTAACTAAAGCAAAGAAATTATGAGGCCATTAGGATGGGTATTAAATTCCCTAGATGATGAAAAGATGGTTATTTTTCAAGCTGAGGTCTTTAATTTCTTATCATCCTGATTAGGCAAAGTACGTGAAGAAGATTATTTCCTTATCCCAGTCAGGCTATAAGACTGAAAAGCAAAGAAATGTAAAACACTGCCCTTCTCTAGGATTGAGAATGCATTTCCTCAGACATTGTGTAATTATATTACAATCAAGATGAATACCAGTAAAATTTCTTTAACTAGGTGTGGCTACTAGAAGATATCAGAAGTTACTTAACATGACTGAAAAGCCACATAAAAATCTGGGTCCATTATTAATCATCATCTTCGGCATGAGTGAATACAAAATCAAGACTAAAAGAAAGAAAGTGTTGAGCAAGACACTGAATTCGAATATGCGATAAGTACTTCAGACAGTCACAAGAAATAATCAAAAGCATGGATAGATAAGTTTCTCAAATGATTAGAAAGAAGAAGGATATCCCAAAAGGGTTGACTTCTAATGAGAAGAAGTTTTTAGCAGAGGTCCTTTGGAGGACATAAAGCATTTTAATTTTTTTTTCTTTTATTTTCATGTAGTATATTTGCATATTTTTAGATATACCCTTTTCTTTTCTTTTTTCTTTTCTCTTTTGTAGTTTCTTGAATTCAGTTTCTTGGAGGATAATAAACAGTGACAATCTGCTAGCAATAATGGGTAAATAAGGAAGGTCTTTATCCAAAACTTGATCCAAAGCAAAATATTGTTTCCAAGATTGCACTTAAAGGCTAAAGCTCTTTTGAGAATTGAAAACCATTGATAAGTGTATCAGTACGAGTCTTTTAGTTTAGCCATGATACAATTGCCCTATATATCTTTATCAGTTTTCTTAATAATTAATAAACATATAGTACTGGCCTAACCACAGATTTTAAAAAAAAAATTTTTATTCTACTAAGCTATTAAAATACAAAAATTATAAAAAAGTTAGATTAAGAATAAAAAAAAAAAATATTTAACAAAATATAAATATATTTATAAAATAATAAAGTAAATAAAAAAAATTAACTAGTTTTCTTTAAAGAATTTTACTATAAAATATTTTTTTAATAAAATTTGTTTAATTAATATATAATATATATATATATTCTAACTATTTAAAAAACTTATTTATTTTTTATTTCAAAAAAAATTTTTTATATACTATTTAAGATTTTTATCATCTTATAGAAATTTTTATATTAAGAACATACTAAAACTATATTGTATTAATATAATATTTTCTAATAACTATAATTAATTAAAATTTTTTTACCAATATATATATTTTATTACTTAAAAAACTGGATTTTTTAATAATACTTTTATTTTATAATAATATAAGAGTTTAAAAAAATTTTTTTTTTAATTTGCAATCGTATCATAATAGCTTATCTTTATTAAGAAATTAAAACAAAATCTATAATAGTTTACAGATTTTAATAATATAATCAACTCATCTTTATATATAGTACTTTATATTGGATTTTGAAAACAATATTGTACTTTCTTAATAAATTGTTTATAATATCTATTTATCAAGATTATTATCAATAGTTTATCATTATTAATTGATCCAAAAATCAATGAATTGCTAAGTTAAAAAGAGGAAAAAAAAAAGGTAATTAGGAAAAAAGACAATTTAAGGTCTATCAAAAAAGTCTAAAAATAAAAACAATATCTTCTTAGTCTTTTTGTTTTACTTGAATCTTAAAAGAAATTTTTTTTTTATCACCTGCAATATCAGATAAGTTAATCTAACTAATCTTTGATTTAAGTAAGTATTAGATTGAGATATCTCAAAAAAAGCATTTGAACTTCAGCTTTTTTTTATTAATGCTTTATTACTACTTAAGAAACTTAAGTAAAAGATAGAAATTTGCAATCTATATTATTTATTATTTAATCTTTTGGTGATATAAAAGTTTTTATTAAATAACTTAGACTTTTAATAACAAATGTTTCTGAAATATTCTTTCCAATTATCAATAATATCATCAGAATATGTGAATGTGATTAATATAAGTATATTTATATTTCAAAAACCAATATATATATTTCATATTAGTCAATTCTTTAATTAAAATTTATGTTATCAAAAATTTAGAATCAAACTAAGATAGTCAAAATTTCTTGAAAAACTGTGAAAATGGAAACTCTAAGAAGGTCATTATAGTTAAAAAGGAAGAAAATAAACCTTTTTACTATAGAAAATCTCTATAAATTTTTTTGCTTCAAAGATTAGATAGATATTTAGATACTTTATAGTTAGTTTTTCTTTCTTTGAAAAATTTCTTGCTATTGTTATTAAAGATATTACTTGATTTTTCTTAGTCACTTAAAGTTAAGTTTTTGAGTAAAAATATTTGTAAACAAAAAGAAAAGAATAGAAATAACTCTTTAAGTTATATTTCAAGTTGTTTTAAAGAAAGTATTAAAACTTTATTAAGAAAAAAATATAAAAACTTCTTATAAATATCTTTTTTGTATGTAATCAGAGACTTAGCAAAAAGAGTTTTTTGGATATAAGAGCTTAAATATAGAAATATAATTATGATATTATTTTATAATTTTTAGAAAAATATATTTTCAACTATATTCAAAGAATTAAAATTTGGTTTATTTAAGAATCTATTAAACTTATTATCTAATTGAAATAAAAAAGAAATCTTATTTATAAACTTTATTTGACTTGAATAATAAGAGAAAAAAATTTTAGTATAAACAAATAATAACTTTTTTTGTTATCTAAAAACTTATTACTTGATTTTTATTGATTTTATAAAGCTAAAATCAATTTTTTTAATTAATAATAATGTTATCAAAACATATATTATATTTAATAGAAGCTTATTTAATAATATATTTTCTGTTAATCAATTATCTTTAATAAAAGTTATATTAATTTTATATAATTTTAAAATTTAAGGTCAAAATAAAATAATCAAAATTTTTAAAAGTTTAAAAAATAAATAATTATAAAAAAATAATAATAGTAAATAAAAAAATTTTCAAGGTTTAAACTTTTGTTTATTTATTTATTTTTTTTTTTATAACAGATTTTTATATATACTTTTCTTCAAGAGATAGGTTTTTAATACTTTATTATTAATTTTTTTTTTTAAACTTTTTTGTTATAAATAAAAATAATATTTCTTGACTTTTTATAATTATTAAAATCAAGTTTTTATATAAATAAGAAAAAAAAATAAGAGAGATTCTTGTAATTATTCTTCAAGTTGTTTTAAGAAAAGTAATAAAACTTTATTAGTATAGAAGTATAAAATTTCATATAAATATCTTTTTTATGTATAATCAAAAAATCAATAAAAAGAATAAATGAAAAGTTTAATCAAAATATATATCTTATTATTTGAATAAAAATATATTTATATTTTTAATTAATTAATAAATTATAATTTAATCTGATTGCAAATATTATAAAAAAAGCTAAAGAATATTTTAATTAAGTAGAAATTTTTTAAAAAAAAAATAAAAATTTTTTGAAGAATTTTAAATTATTATTGTTATATATTTTTTTTAAATAATTTAACAATTTAATAAACTATTGATAATGATCTGAAGATCTATCAAGAAAGTAAAATATTAATTTGGATTTTGTTTTGTTTAGTTCAAACTAGTTTAATAAACTTATATTTTTAAGTAATATAATTCTTTAACTAATAATATACAATGACAAGTTAGTCATCATTTGATAAGTCAAAGTAGCATTTTAGATACTTATTTAATATCTCAATAAAGACATCAATGGTAATAGGTTAAGTCAAAAAAAATATATATATAAATATTTTTAATAAAATCCAATGGCTGAATAAGTAGTAAATTGGCGATCACGTTTTTCGCCTTACGGACAAAAGTTATTTTAATAATGGTAATAAATGGTAATAAGATCAATCTTAAAGGGGTGAATTAACTAGTTTTAGATAACAACCAAACATTTCGTGTTGAATTTAAATTAAATTGATCGAAGTGTTACACACCAACATTATAATATATAGACCTTGCATGTTAAGAATTTTCGAGAATTAACAGTATCAACATTCTTAACATTCACAGATATAACCTAATCAATATACATATCTCACCGACTCGTATAGCCTTTCTATCTCGAAGAATCTGTGGTCATGTCGACTAATATGCGTGGCTTGACCGTGTTCATCGCGGACATACGAAACTGTATCCATATATTTGCCCTCATAATATGTTAATCACTTTAATCATTTTACCTTTAACTGTTTGTCAAAAACACAGGTAGGGTGAGAGAATTAGAGGAAAAGCGGATTAATAAAGAGATGGCAAATATTCGTGCAAAGTTTAAAGGTAATTTTTTCTTCTCGGTGCATGATTAATCGCGAATAAACTTTAATTGAATTTATAAATCAGATGGAAATCTGAATGGTTATCAAAAGAAAAAATATGTATGCAAGCTATTATACATGTATATACTCGGTTGGGACATTGATTTCGGTCATATGGAAGCCGTGAATTTAATTTCTAGTAATAAATACAGTGAGAAACAAATTGTTAGTATCGAATTGTTTCATTCTATAATATTGCTATCACATAGTCTAATTTCTTTTAATTTGACCTTGGACAACAGGGATACCTAGGTGTGACGCTTTTAATGCATGAGAATAGCGATCTTTCACGTTTGGTCGTCAACTCAATGAGAAAAGATCTCGAGGAACTTAACGAAATATATAATTGTCTCGCTTTGCACGCTATCGCAAATATTGGTGGTAGGGAAATGGCAGATTCCTTGGCCAATGATGTTCACAGGCTTTTATTGTCCCAGTTTGTATCATTTTGCTTCGTATTTTCTTGTTGTATATATTCATTACATATTCTAATATACATATGATTCTTTAAAGAAATTCAAAAAGTTTTGTTAAGAAAAAGGCCGCATTGACCCTTTTGCGTTTGTACAGAAAACATCCAGATGCAATTCCTGCTGCAGATTGGGCTGATAGAATTATTATGCTGATGGACGACAATGATCTAGTAGGTTTCTTTTTCTTTTTTTTTTTTTTAAAAAAAAGAAATAATTCATCAAGAATATGCTAATACATTATTTAATTTTCTTAAACATAGGGCGTGACTTTGTGTGCCACAAGTTTAGTAATGACACTGGCACAAGATAATCTTGAGGAATATAAAGGATGCTATGCCAAAGCAGTTGATAGGCTGTCAAAGGTTAGGAGTGATTTCAAATCGAATATATATATTTTTTGTCTCGATCTACTCAACTTTTTCCTTTATAATAGATTGTTGTGGACGATGAATACTCACCGGATTACGTATATTATAAAGTTCCTATACCTTGGTTACAAATTAAACTTCTTCGGTTATTACAATATTACCCGGCTTCAGGTATGCTTTCAATTTATTAATAAATTTTGATGACATTATTGAGTTTAATAATATTGTTTCAATAGATGATCGTGAAACTCGAAACAAATTGCATGGCGTACTTCAAAAGATACTAAATAATTCTCAAGAAACACCAAAAAATGTTCAACACAATAATGCACAGAATGCTGTTTTATTCGAAGCCATAAACCTTGCTATTAATTTGGACTCGGAATCCCAGATCGTCAATCAAGCGGCAGCTTTACTTGGAAGGTTTATTACATCTAAAGAGACCAATGTCAGGTACTTGGGGTTAGAAACGATGGCTCATTTGGCCACGTGCGTAGATTCATTGGAATCAATCAAAAAACATCAAGAAACTATTTTACTATCCTTACGTGACAAAGATATCAGTGTGCGACGTAGAGGGTTGGATCTTTTATACAGCATGTGTGATGTTACAAATGCGAAGGTTATTGTTTCCGAATTATTACGATATCTTAATATTGCGGATTTTGCTTTAAGAGAAGAAATGGTGCTCAAAATAGCAATTCTGACTGAAAGATTTGCTACAGAATATCAATGGTACGTGGATATCATCTTGCAATTGATAAGTAGTGCAGGCGATCACGTGGGCGAAGAAGTGTGGTATCGTGTAGTGCAGATAGTTACAAACAACGAAGAACTTCAAGAGTACGCCGCAAAAACAGTACTGATTCATTTGAAGTCACCTTCCTGTCACGAAAATTTAGTTAAGATAGGTGGATATATTCTGGGCGAATTCGGGCATCTTATAGCTAATATATCTGGTGCCACTCCTATTGAGCAGTTTCGCGCTATTCATTCAAAATTCGGAATGTGCTCCCTACAAACTCGCGCTCTACTTCTGACCACCTATTTCAAGTTTATCAACCTTTTTCCGGAGATCAAGGGGGAAATATTGTCCGTTTTTAATCAATATCGCCATGTATTGGATTCAGAGTTGCAACAGCGATCCTCCGAATATATGGTTATGGCAACTATGCCGAATGATGACATCCTGCAGACGGTCTGTGAGGAAATGCCACCATTCCCTGAACGTGAATCTGCTCTGCTGTCAAGGCTGCATCAGCAACATTCAGATACTGAAGATAAAAGAACTTGGACGCTTGGTAGTAAAGATATAAGCAAAGAAAAAGAGGTTTCTCGGATATCCTTTATAAGTAGGAACAATTCTTATGATTTCAAGGGCAAAAGCGAAAGCAGTGGTAATGGCGAAGTCGACCTTCTATCTGATTTAGAAGGACTTGAGATAAGCAAAGAATCAAGTTCTTACACTGCCTCACTGACAACTTCTCAAATAACTCCGGGATCGGAAAGATGGTTAGGAAAATTATTATACACAAATGAAGGTCTATTATATGAAAATACGCATATTCAAATTGGCTTGAAATCAGAATATCATGGTCATTTAGGGCGGCTTGCTTTATATTTTGGCAACAAGACACAGACAAACATTACGTCTTTTACTACGCTTGTTGAGAATGTCAATGATCTCTTGATTACCAGTCCCCAAAAACCTTCAACAATAATATCGCCAGTTAATCAAATTCAGCAACTCTTTCATATGGAGTGTCGAAATGTTTTTAACGGATTACCAAATTTGCGGGTATCATATATTTCGGGAACCATTCACACAATAGTTTTAAAACTACCTATTCCTTTGACGAAGTTTATGGAACCTATTCAACTAAATGGGCCAGAATTTTTTGCTAGATGGAAACAAATTGGCGGCAATCAGCGGGAAAAACAAACTATTTTCAAATCAGCTATTCCAATAAATATTAAAGGAATCCATAGCATGATTTCTGGATTTAGATATTATATATTAGAAGGAGTAGATCCAAATCCTAATAATGTTGTTGGAGCCAGTGTATTGCATACTTCTGAAGGAGGCATGATTGGTTGCCTCTTGAGATTGGAACCTAATATTGATGCACAGGTGGGTTCTTATAGTACATTTAAACTTTTTTACTGCTATTAATTTTAATATCTTTAATGTTTAGATGTATCGACTGACAGTCCGCACCACTAACGATAATGCAACTAATGAAATTTGTACTTTGATGGAACCTCAATTGACAAATTGTCCATTTTAACTTGCGTGTTTCTACACCAGAAACCAAAAGGTTTAGGTCACGTTTTTAAAGGACAAATAATTGTATGCTATATTGTAACATAGATAACAGTTATAAAAAGAATTAATAATATAGAAGACTCATTTATTGTAATTTAAACTAACAGTTGGCATTACAATTAACCAAAGTGTATACTACGAGACACTGCATAACGAAAAATTTTCGATTTTAAATCTGTAAAAGAAACTCATAGGCGTGTCGCTATTTATTCGAATACTAGTAAAAAATATCTAAAATATTGTTATTTCCGAAAAAATATTCTTAGAAATTAATAAATTTTGATAAAGTCTATGTAGTATATCAGTATACGTATTAGAAAAAAGTGAATTAATCAAAAAAAAAATATATATATATATATATACAGTATATGATATTTATTTATCTGTTTTTTTTTAACCTACCTTTATCGTATATATACTGAATATTTATAGTTGGTATGACTTTCACATATTTAAATTAATTATTGATTACTATTTTTTTAATATTGATTATTAATTGCGTAATAATTAATCATATAACAATAATTTATTTTTTAAAATAATAAAAGTTAATTATAATATTAAGGATAGAGTATAATTGTTTTTTTAAAATTTTTATATTAATGTACATTAAATTAATCCATACAAAAATTTATAATTTTAATTAATTGATATTATAAAATTTCTATATTTAAAGAAATAATAATCTTTATATCTTAATGAATTTGAACTAATTTTATTTATTTTATTATTATTAAATCAAAAAAATTTTTGTTTTATAATTTAACTTAAATATAAAATTAATTTATTTAATAAAAACTTTTTAAATTTAAAATTTACTATTGATTCTATATTTATAGTTGCTTCTGAATTTTTATAAAACTTAATAAAAAAAATAATATTAGTGATTAAAAAATAATAATAAAATAATAATAAATAAAAAAAATAATATTAGTGATTAAAAAATAATAATAAAATAATAATAAATAAACTATAATTTATTAATAAAAGCAATTGAAATCGAATCTTTTTTTAATCATTTATTATATTTTTATTACAAATTTCAATTTTGTTAATTTTTAAATCTTTAATTTTTAATTTTTTTTTTTTTAACCCACTGTCAGGTTAGTTATGTGTGCTTTATTAAACATAATGTAGGTTATACTATTTACAGTATCACTAAAGCTAGAACGCTAACTAACTCACTCGTCTTAGTTTAATATCAAACTCTAAGTACAACTTTGGGAGTGATTTGTCACTCCGTTTATAGTTTGGGTAAAAACCCTTCTACTATAAACATTATTGCCTGTAGTCACTACTGCAGATCACAGGCCAAAGTTCTAACCAAGCCTAAAACCCAACCATTTCATCCCACTTTTGACCCCCATCATTATTATTCTTGTTAAACCTTTTTCCGGAC